TAAACTCACCGATGATTGACAGACCCTTTTACCTTTGCAAAATGAAACCGCAGGCCAGGACCATGGTCAAGCGCATGTCCAGCAAGGAGCTGGTGCTGCAGTTTGACCGGTCCCAGTTGGCGGCCATCAACCGCTTCCGCCAGCGGGAGGCTTGCTGGGACCTGGCCCGTCGGGGTGAGGTCGGGGAGACGGCGCTGCACCTGTGCCTACTCAACAATACCGAGACTCATCTCACCATCGCTCGGATAATGCTTGAGATGTACCCGAAGATGGCGCTGGACATCTATGAGGGCGACGACTACTTCGGTAATGTGCACACCCATGTCCTGATTGAGATTAAAAAAAAAACCTGTGATTTGTCCTTGTATCTTTGTGAGTGGTTGGGACAGCCTACACATGCATTAAAGATGCTTTGTTGGATAGCCTATACTCTTGTCAAAAGAAGAGGCGCTAAACAAGGGACAGTGTTGCGTAAAGAAATGAATTGTCCTGAGCAGCAAGCTTTTAGCACGCTTGGGAAAAAGCTCTTTACTATCTTATTCTGTGGTAGTCAGTCCTAAGGTAATTTCCTTACTTTAAAAGGGCAAAGGGGCGTATGAATAAAAAGTAGCATTTACTCGTGTTTGTATGAATAATAAAGAAGCAAATGCTTTTACTTTAGTGCAATTCAATAAAAACGTATTTACCTTTTATACTTTTTATGCCTGTGCTTGACAATAAGCAGTTGCTTCATTTTGTATGAATAAAAATGAGTAAGTTCTACAAAATTGGAGTATTTACTTAACATTTTTCAAGACTGGGTCAGGGCAAGCTTGAAAACGCGGAGCATTTACTAATGTTCAAAATGGCAGCGTTCATGAACGTCACTCGAAAGGAAAGGCTGTATGCCTTTAGGAGGGAATCTCAAGAAACCAGATGCAGGCAGTTGTACCGATTTGAGAGTGGCAGAGCAATTTTCTTCATCAAGGTTTTTGCGATCAAAATTACTGCCATCGTGCTTATCTGCCATGCTGAGGTCTCAAGATACAGCACCGTGCTGCTGTGTGTGTCTGTAGGCCTAGGTGCAGACAGTGGAAGCCCTGTTGTGCAAAACCGTGCGGCTGTGAAGTCAGCCACAAGCATAAAGCATTTGCTACTATTTGTGCAAGCAGATGCTGAACAGTAAAAGAAACATTTTTTTCCCATACAAATTCAAGCAATCACTTATTCTTAATTAATTACTTCTCAGTAAATGCTATTGCTGTTTGCTTGGACTTCATAGCATTTGCCAGCTTTTATTCTTACGACCCATAGTGGCCTGATACGCATCCTCCCAAAAACTGTTTGGATATCTCCACTTTGGAAGATTATTAGCGAATGTCGAAGACATTTTATATAACAAGGATGGAGCCCCACTCCCTGCGGAAAAATATATTTGATGGTCCTGGTTCCTCAATCAAAATAGTTATCGAGATTAGGGTTTTTTTTCGACAAATATTTTATTGTGAGCGGTTCGTCAAAACTGGTTGTTTGCTGATCCCCATCTTTAGGTATGCAAAATTGGTCATATGCACGCTTTAATTTAGGCCACTTCAACACCACTAGGCGGTTTTCAAGATGTATTTTTGCGTTGGGGAGATGTTAATTATATATAACAGGTTTTGCCCAAAATACATCTTGAAAATAGTTCGCGGTACCCGCTGCTTCATTTGACACGGACCGGCCAACCGACCCCGGCAAGCTCGGTGGTCGAGTGGTTAAGACATCTGGACT